TTGTCTATTAAGACTGGCAGTGGCTCTCCAGGGTCTCAGGCACAGATCTTTCACATCACTGGTTACCTGATCCTTTTAACTGGAGATGCCAGGGATTGAACATGGGACGTTCTGCATGCCAAGCAGATGCTCTATCACTAAGCTACAGCCCCTCCCCAAATGGTTCTTACTCTCAGGATAGCATTTTTAGGATTGCACTGATATTTTACTGGACATGCACCCTAAGCACATCCTTCTAAAGCCATTGAATTTGCTTCAAAGGATGTAATCCTCACTATTGCACTGTTACAATACACTTTCCAGGTAGTTATGGGTAAATTATGCTTTTGTTTATTGCCTTAAACCAGGGAATATCATGGATAAGGCCAAGGCTTTTTTTATCTTCAGAATGTAAACATTTTATTACAGAGGCGTTCTCCTTTCAATATTTTCCCAGTAGTTCAAAATTCTTCTCGTCCCTAGGAGATGCCTTTTAAACTGAGTTTACTTCCACATGAAGGTTTTGCTGCAGTTTGGTATCTAAACTGAAGTGAACTTTTTTTGTAGTAGCCAACTTATATTCAAATAGCAACGTTGGCCAAATCTTTGGATATTTAATTCTAGTGACTGGAGCTGTGAACAGGCAAGACAGATCTTTCTACAAATCTGAAAAGGGCCCAAGGTTTACAGAAAAATGTGAAATCTAAAAAAAAAATTTTGTGGGGTTTTAAAAACTCAACAATGATAAAAGGAGCACCTGTAGCTTTAAGCAACAGGTTCCCTCAGTGGCTGTTGCTAGGCAACCACATTATTCCAGGCCCAGGTTTTTGTGAGTAAAAAGGCAGGGAGAGGAGGCAGGGCCCTTTCAAGGTCTATTTTGGCCTCTGAGAGAGGACTCCTTGTGGCAAGGCCTAACTAGGGTTGCCAGCTCCAATTTGGGAAATTCCTGGAGATTTTGTGGTGGAGTCTGAGGTGGACAGGGTTTTGGGAAAGGAGAGGCCTCAGCCAAATATAATGCTATTGAGAATAATGTAAGTTGCTTTGGTTCCTGCTGTGGAGAAAGGCGGGGTATAAATGAAGTAAATAAATAATATCTGAAGATGGGATGCACATAAAAGGCAGGTTGGTGAAGTAAAGGCAAGGAAAGGATATGGGGATTGCCAAGAGGAGGAAAAAAGAAAATAGTGTGGGCAGGGGGATACAGGAGAAAGTGAGGTGCTACCCCATAAGCCCTTGAGGGTTCCCTACCATGAAAACAGACCTTGCCTAGTGGCACAGTTTTCCTAGGCAGAGGCTGAGTGTTTTTTGTTTTTGTTTTTTTTGAGACATAAGACAGACAGATAAAGATAGGTTGGCTGTTGGATGGGAAGGAGCTAGGGTTGCCAACTCCAAGTTTAGGATATTCCTAGAGATTTGGAGGGTGGAGGCTAAGAAGTGTGAGGTTTGAGGAAAGGAAGGACCTCAAAAGGGTATAATGCCAAATATGCCACTTTCCAAGTAGCCAATTCCTCCAGGTTAACTAGAGTTGCCAATATCCATATGGGGACTGGAGATAACCTGGAATTACAATTACTCTCCAGATGACAGAAATCAGTTCCCCTGGATAAAATGGCTGTTTTGCAGGGTGGACTCTATGGAATTATAACCTGTGGAGGTTGCTTCCTTCCCCAAACCTTGCCCTTCCAAGGCTCCACACCCCAGTATCTAGGAATTTCCTGCCCTGGAGCTGGAAAACCTACAAGGAATGGATCTCTGTAGCTGGGAGACATATTGGGGAATTTCAGACAGGTGATATCTCCCGGTAGGGAACCGGTTCTCAAACAGGTTCTGGTCTGTCATTTCAGACAGAACCCGTTTGAGAATCGGTTCCCTACCGGAATGTAACTGCCATTTCACACACAAAAGCTTCAGTCCCGTTTAGGAACCGGGACTGAAGCGTTTCACCTGTCAACTGCTTCTGAGTAGTCTTCAGTTCCCGCTCCCGGTTCGGATACGCTTTTTTCCCGCCTTTTTTCGCCCGCGCGGGCGATCTCTGGCTGTTTTTTTTTTTTTTGAACGTTTGCTTTATATAACGGAATAGCACTATATCAATCCCATTGGAATGCATGGAGTATTTCGTTATACTGCTATAGCCCTATAGCGCTATAAATCGAACGTTTTTTTAATAAAAATCGATCACCCGCACGGGAAGCAAACGGCGGGAAAACAAAGCGGTGCATGTCTGAAATGCCAAACCGCTTCTGAATCGGCTGGTTTCCGGTAGGGGCAAGCCATGTATGAAATGGCAGCACCTCAAAACGGAAGAATACCGGCTTGAAACCGGGAGAAACTGGGTAATGTGAAATTCCACAAAATTGTGATTCCAAGAGAGCTCCAGGCCCCACCTGCACATTGGCAACCCTATAAGGAGAGAAGGAACCAGGAAAGGGGGAAAGGGTATGGGGGCTTTCAAGAAAGGGAAGGAGGAAATAGTGGGGGGAGGGGAAAATAAGATTCCTCCCACAAGTTCTTGCAGGTTCCCACTTGTACTCCCCTTTCTACTTTCTGGGTTTTCCCGTTTTTGCCAAACTTGATATGATGCAATCTTTTTGGAAAGAGCATTGTCAAAGCTCCTTTGCATGTCATAAAGTTACGAAGGTGCATATTTTTGAAGATCCACACAGATTGGCTGCATTTCCTTGCCTCACCCCTCTCTGATCACCATTTTCCCCATGCACCAGAGGGCTTTTTAAAAAAAAAAAAAAATTGCTAGATCACTATAATTATCTATTGCCATAATCTACTAACTCCCCTGAATTCCCAGCTTTTGTTTAAAAACACACACACACATCTCTAACCTTTTTTGTTGATGAAATATAATGGGTGCATCTTTTCACTTATATCTCCATAATGAAAAGGGCTAGAGAGACGTTATTTTTCTAAAATAAAGGCTGGGAATTCAGATTGTGGTGATAGATTATTACAGCAACCTAGCAATTGCCTTTGGCCATTTTAAAACAAACAAACAACTTCCAGTGTCATAGGGGGAAATGGCAGCCACAGGGACTGAGGAAATAAAAGGGAAAACTGCTCTGTGGAGGTTCCATTGTTGCTGCACATGACTCTGCACATACAGCAGCAAAGGCAGCTACAGACAATCATTGCTGCCTGGAAACAGTATGAGTGATATATGTTGTTTGCCTTGCCAAATGCTTATATTATCTGCTGGTACCTCCAAATTTCTGGAAGCTGGAAAACATGCCCCATTTCTTTTTTAGAGCCACAGGAGTTCAGGAGCTCAAAACAGCCTTGAAGTACCTTCTGGAACAGGCCTCTACATTTTGGAGTCAATGCTGGGGTGACTATTTCTGACTATGAAATTGAAACCATTGCAATCTCACTGTTTTCTAATTGTCTCATCAGAGAGTTTCACTACTACAGTTTGTTTTCGTTTCAGCAATCTTGATGTGTTAAACCAGTATGGAATTGGTTATTGTGCTTTATAATTTGCATTAATAATTTCCACTGGAAGGAGAGTCATGTGAAGAATTTTTACCAATAGTTACAACTAAACAAAAACACACTTAAAATCCTAATTTGCATGTACCTGTTTGGCTACAACACTACAAGATTTTGTTCTTTTTTTTTTAACCTTTGGACTTGATGTTACACTTTTCCTAGCAGGTACCAGATTTCAATAAATTGAGCAACTTGAAATGAGAATTTGTGACAGGATTTAAAGTTATAGTGTTTGAAGATTATAATATATAACAATTATACATAATAAATCAAAATAGTTTATTTATATATCCTACCCTTTTCCCAATAAAATCAAGACTCAATCAAAAGCATATTCCATAAATAGCTATACTGTTAATATCAACCTCTAATACTAGGGAGATATGTACAAAAGTATTGATGTCTTTTCGGGGAACAGGAAATCAAGGGTACAATGATTTCCATTTTGAGTATGTGCAAGGTTAGGATTATCACTTTGGCTTGGATCAAGACTGATTGGAGTTGCACTAGAGAAAGGCAATTTCCCTGCCTCCTCTTCTCATGGCAGCCTTTTCTGTTTCCCCCCAAATCATGCTCTCTTCAGTCAGTGAACCCAAAGGAACAGTGTATGGGGGGGGGGGGAGAGAAGGATAGGCAAAAATAATCCTTTCTTCCCCTGTGACACACAAAGGCATTCTGCCAGAGGAGCTCTGCAGCTATGAAATCTCTAGAAGACTCCAGTCCTTCATCTTGATTTAAAAAACCTGGCAACTTTTTCTTTGAAAAATTCTGACATCGGGACTGAGTTGCTCTAAGCATGTACAAAGTGCCTTCTCCATACAAAGAAAAAACAGGAATGTGCCCATTCTCTATTTTGGAATTTGGGTAGGAGGATGAACGAGTTGTAGCACTCAAGACGGTACATGAGCCTGGAATCACATGTTTGAACGCTTTCCTACTTTTAAACAAAAATCCCATACAGAGCGGACCAGCAGGCTGGTCGAGACCTTTACGAGTGATATGCTAGGTTTGTTTTAAACTTGGAAGTTCGGGACTGAGTGGCTCTAAGCATGTACAAAGTGCCTTCTCCATACAAAGAAAAAACAGGAATGTGCCCATTCTCTATTTTGGAATTTGGGTAGGAGGATGAACGAGTTGTAGCACTCAAGACGGTACATGAGCCTGGAATCACATGTTTGAACGCTTTCCTACCTTTAAACAAAAATCCCCTACAGAGAAGACCAGCAGGCTCTCCTTTACGAGTAATATGCTAGGTTTGTTTTAAACCTGGAAGGCTACTACTACATTGGAAAACGTGACTTCACACCCGAAGCAGCAGCCCAGCGCACCCCACCACCTCCTCTCACTGCCTGCGTAGGTCACGCCGCCGCCGGGAAGCCGAAATCCGCCTAGTAGGATCCCCGAAGGAGTCGGCTCGCTTTCGCTCCTCATCCCGCGGCCTCCCCGAGGAGCGGCCAAGCCCGCCTCCCTCCCAGCTTCCACCGCGGCTCTCCTCCCCTCTTTCCTTTCCCAGTTCCCAGCTTCTTCGAGTAAGGCGGAGCTGAGGCTACGGTTCCTTGCCGTCGCCACCGCCTCTCTGCGTCCCTCTCACAGGCGCTTAAGGGACTGGGGAGGGGAGTGGGGGGGCCGGGCCGGGTTCTCCGTCTGAGGGGACGGCGAGGGAGCGCAGCTGGCGGCCGTCGCAGCAGCAAGCAACAGCCTCGGGAGGCGTGAGCACAAGCGCCACAAAGGAGCGGCCGGCGGTGGAGTCTGCGCTGCCCGAGGAGTCGCCATGAGCTGGGGCACGGAGCTGTGGGTGAGTCCCTGGCTCGCTCCTCATTGTGTCTGGGACTCATTTATCTCTCCCGCCCGCCTCGCGTCGGCAAAAGGAGGGCGTTTAGGCCGGCTTCTGGGTGGGTGGGACGGACGGACGGAGCTCCCTGGGGGTGGAGAGAGCCTTTCCTCTGATTACACCCCCCCCCCCCAAAAAAGCCGGGGGGATTGGGGAGGCATTTGGGCTGCTTGGTGGAGGGGGAAATGGGGAGGGGGGGAGAGTTGGCCATGGAGCGGGGGGTGGCTGAGTCGGTGGTCGCGGCATCTCCCGTGCACAGAGAGGGCGGGGCTTCGAATTCGGATTATCCTTCCAGTATTTGGTTTAGCCCGGAGTCCAAAGCGCCGACCTTTGCTCCGCACCATCCCGGCCCCGTCGTGGGTTGTCCCCTTCTTTCAGGAGCCTCCGGCTTCTTTTCCAGAGCAGGAGGACAGCCGAGACCACAGCATCGCGTTCTTCATTGATTGGAGGAGATCTATCTTTCCCCTTAAACAATGGAACAGTGTCGGGGCGCACACCAGGAGTAATTTCTTTGTTTACCCGTAAAATCAATGATTATGTGGACAAGTTTTTCCTTTTCTTTGCTTTTGTATTTAAAGGAGGAAATAAAGATCTTTCAGGTTTGGTGTGAGTCAGCTGTGCTGTGACTGGCATTCTTGCTTCTGACAATGATGTGTACTAGGAAAGGGTTACCAGTAACATAAAAAAGAGGTGTGTTAGACAGTCAAAAAGGGGTTGGGTGATCTGTTTAGTAAATATGTGGGGAGGACTGCTAACCTGAAATCAACATTCCTCTTGCTTTTAATTGAACATGAGGGCTTAAGGTGAGAGGAGTTGTTGACTTCAGTCTTGTTGTTGATGTGGGTAGAATCTAATTTGAATCAACGGAAAGCCTGTATATTAACATTCTAAGGTGCTGTTGCTTAATAATGAAATATTGTTGTTTTGTGTTCAGTGTTATAGTGCTTTCCACTAAATATCTGAGTAGATAGCTAAGAAATTGGCAAGTAGTTCATCCCTCTATGTGCAGTCTGTTTACTTTCTAAGAAAATCTCGATTACCAGAGCTTGCTGATGGTAACAATGGTCAGAAAGGTAATGACATGACATTGTGCCTATGGCACTAGCTGCCATTGGCATGCCCTGCTAGTGATGACTCCTTTCTTTTGAGTCAATAAATGGATGGAGTGTGTAAAAGAAATAAGAAATTTGAGTATAATAATTATCACAGTGCCTTGTTGTGCATTATCATGGGTTATGTGTAACCGTTTTAATTGGGCAAAGATGGAGAGTTGTGTTAAATAAAATGTGTATATGTACTGTGCATATAGCCTGCCAGCAAGCTTGTCATTTAGTGCATCTGGCTTGTTATGTGTCATCCTAGCTTAGCTGGAGTTATGACATTGGCTCCAGTAGGATATATGGGGTGGTGGTGGGGGACTGTGCAGTAGTGTATTATTGTGGTATATATGGTGTTCCCAAATGATTGGGAAAGCACAAAATATAATATTGCTTGTATATATTATTCATCAAATTACCTTGGCCAAAATAGACATTGATGCTTTTGTAGAACAGAATTTTTACATGAGATGGTGAAGATTTCCCCTTCTTTCTCCATCCTGCCACCGTTTTTTAGATTTTGTGTTCCAATCTGTTGGTCTGCAAATATAGCTTTATTTCATATGAACCGAGTTTGCCTCAGTAATGATGCTCTTGTAGTCATTCTGTAAAGCCATCTTTTTCTTTCTGGGATGAGGGAATTCTTTAGGAGTCCTATGTTAACTTTTGCCAGTACTGTACTTTATTAAGAGGCATTGTTTCTCTTCTGAATAAAGGAAAATGTGTATCTGTGTCCTTCCTTTTAAACATCAGACATTTCTAGGGTTTTTTATACGAGAATATATTAATTAAACATATAGTAGTTTGCTTTTCTGGATTTACAATGGCCTTTATTAAAATTGCATTTCAAAATGTGTGCTGTGTATTTGGATTTTTCCCCAAATGATACTTGCTGCTTATCCTAGTGACTTGGCATTGGTCTCAGGCTATCAGACTGTACTGATTTCTGTGTGCATCATTGTCCTGTCTTTTTGTTTCTGTCCTATACCCTAAGAGTTTCCATGCATGTACCTTTTACCTCATTTAGACTTACTTCTGCTAAATTTAATATTCTGTAGTGCACGTAGCAAAACTTTTTAAAATATAAACAATATTAATTGAAATTCATTTTTCTGCAAATTCAACAAAATTATCTCTGCCTTTTAAAAACAGCTGCATATTGAAGCATGTATTAAGCATACATGAAAGTAATCTTGAATAACTTAGATGACCTTAGCATCACCCACTGTTGCTGAATCCCTCCCCTTTGTGGTTACTTCAGTGGACAGCGTTCCGTGTGCCTCGGTGTTTAGTCATGCCGGCCACATGACCACGGAAACGTCTTCAGACAGTGCTGGCTCTTTGGCTTGGAAACGGCGATGAGCACTCCCCCCTAGAGTCAGATTCAGCTAGCTTTTGAGCAAGGGAAACCTTTTACAGTGGACCACAGCCTGTGGTAGAGGATTGTGTTTTTGTGTGCTACAGTAACCAATCATTTTGGACCAGTGGTGAAAAGAGATGGGAATGGAAAGATATGGAATAAACAGAAAGGCATAAATGGGTTGCTGTAAAGCATTTCACATAATCCAAGAGTGCTGGGGAAGAGTTTATGAGCCTTTTGGAGGTGTAATTTAGGCTTTGTGTACTGATACCATATTGATTTCATGTGAGCATAAACATCTCTCCTTATATATAATTGAATAGTGGGTGCCAAAGTTCTAAAATGCACTCCTTTAGTGTATGGACGCTTGGACTGTCAGTCAGAAGACGCTGGCTGGGTTGACTGGCTGCTTTGTGCAGTCCCGCCCAGCGTTTCAAGGTCTTTTGCATATGGAAGCTGATTGGACTTCACTGCATTCCACACCTCAAACTCACCCCCCTCCCCGCAAGGCAGTTGGAATGTCAGTTGCATATGGAACCTTCAAGGTCTTTTGCATATGGAAGCTGGACTTCACTCCATTCCACACCTCATACT